GTAAAAAGAAACACCATTTTTGAGAATCTGGTTATCTCAGGGGGAGAAACAGGTAGGAAAAGAAGAAAATTATTCTTGAAAATCTTCAAGCATCTCTACCTATATGGGATGGGTAAATTATTGCAAAAGAAACAGGATATGAGCACGTTCTGTTCTATGACACACAGGGGCACCGAGACTTCCACTTTCTTGCATGCCTCCTCCCCATTGGCAGCACAGTGGAGATAAGGGAAAGAAATTCAGAGACTCACTTTTCTTGCCTCATTTCTATCCTAGTCTTTCCCCGTGAAGCTCAAGGACTCATTAGAGTCATGGCAAGTACAAAACTCCAGGAACATACAGGGTAAGGTAGCTGAATGTGCTAAATAATAATAGTGGCTGGAAAAAAATGCATATATTTATAAATCAGTCTTGGAACTTACAAACAAGTTCTTAAAAACAGATTTAACTAAAATTTGTGGAATACAGTGCTCCATACTGGACTTATATCAAATGCTCGGGGCTATACAGGGCATAGTACATGTGGATTCACAGTCTAAACTATACAAGTCAACAGTCACACAGCCGTATAAAGACAGTAGAAGGCGATGTTTTAGAAGTTGTAAGTAGGAAGCTGTTCTTAAAAAAGTGCTAACGAATGAGAAGCAAGATGATTTAGTGCCAGCAGAGGGAAAGTTCAAGGTGCCAGTTTGACCAGAAAAGAACAAGAGTTTCCAAAGCATGGTTCTTCCTTCAAATGATTCAAAATGTCATAATATAGTAACTTAAAAATCATGAAACATGGAAGAATTTTATTAAAGTAATACTCATCTATTAAAATGTTGCCTTCCTGACAACTCCACATAATTTATCTAAATGAGATGCTCTTCAAGACACAAGTCATATCCAATATTTCAAGCTAAAAACACTATTAGCCGTAAGTGCAAAAGATTCAAAGAAATCCCACATTGTACATGGAAGTTTTCCTTAAATTCCCATGAACTGTCATTTGCATTTCCTCTCAGTTAGAACAGACATGAGGACAACGTTCATTTGCTTTCTAGAAACTTGAAACTTTTCAGTTAGGAAAGGAATTCAATGACAGTCCTGTTTGTTATTGCTAAAGCTGGTACAATTTTACCCATAACCTATGTGCTCTTTCTTCCTTAGGACATCAGGAGACTGGAGTCTTCCCAGCCTTTTTATGGAATCCACATTATTTATTCTGCCTCACAGTGAACCAAATTTTCAGGTTATTTTAAGAAACTTAAATCTTAAAGGCCTTATGAAGACTTTTTATGTGTTTTCTCTTGATAAGTATAAAACTTATTCTGGGCATATGCTGTGTGTTTGTTGTGTACATGTGTAAAAATCTTGTTCCCTTTGTGTGTATTTCAGATCTGGAGAAAACCTCCATGCTCATACTTTGATTCAGTAGCAAACTGTCAATGAACCCAGATCTTCCAATGCACAGCTATACTTCCACCTCAGAACTTGTCTTGCATATAGTCATTGCTCAAAGATGTGCTGATTCATTGCTATGATCTGAATATTTGTATCTCCCTCCAAATTTATATGTTCAAATTTAATTCCCAAGATGACAGTATGAAGAGGTGGGACCTCCGGGAAGTGATAAGGTCATGCGGGCTCCACCCTTATGAGTGGGATCACTGACCTTGTAAAAGAGACACCAGGAAGCCTATTCACCCAGTCTGCCATGTGAACCCAGAAAGAAGACACCATCTCTAAAAAACTGCACTCACCAGACACTAATTCTGCTAGTGCCTTGATCTTGGACTTCCCAACCTCCAGAAATGTGAGAAACAATTCTGCTGTTTATTATAAATTACCCAATCTAAGGAACTTTATAGCAGACTAAACAGACTACAACTACTTCTCTTTCTTATATTGGCCTAATTTGCTTTTCAATTTTCTTATTCTAATATTGCTATTCTAATCATTATGAGGCTCATTATCATTAAAAATGCTACCAATAATTCACATGATGTATAAAAAAAACAATAAATTACTAATCAACTGAGTCACTTAGTGTCTGTCTTGACTTGTCTTTCTAAATTTTTTTTAAATCTTTTTTAAAGCTGTCTCTGAGAGACAGAGACAAAGAAACAGCTCCCTCAACAGGGTCTTCAGCATGATCTACCCAGCCTTCAGCCAGCCCCAGATCACGGGCACTCAAGTGTTTAGAGCACTCAGGGAAGTCTCTAGACATGGAGTAGGAATCTTCCCCTGTGGGTCAGCCTTGCAGTATGCCATGTTTTACCAATGCATCACCATTGAGCCCATGCCTTTCTAATTCTTTCTACCTAACTCTGTCATCTTCAAGTAGCTTCCCTAACAAGAACTTGAGATACCTACTAAAGTAATCAGATAACATAAACAGGCTCTGATACAGACTCCTAGAAATTTTAAAAATCTGGAACAAAATTAAGTTAGATTCCTGGCAGTTAACTACAAAATTATACCAGATGTATAAAAAAAGTTAAATCAAACATGATATCAAAACCAAAAATTCATAAAGGAAAATAGTACGAAGGCCCAGCCCATGCACAGTGATTAAGGTGGTTGGATTCCACATTGTCAACCATGAAGTTCAAGTCCTGGGCTTGGCAGCCTGAGAAAACATATAGGGTGTGAGTGTGGATGTGTGTGTGTATCTAAAATTTGAAAGGAATGAGGAGAAGGGATTGAAGCGTGACTATTCCCCTTGGGAGTCATTTCTCACCACTCTCCTCTCTATCTGTCTGTCTCTCTCTGGCTAGTGCACATGCCTTGGCAAAACTAAAAAAAAAAAAAAAGAAGGAAAAGAAAAAAAGAATAGTATGAGATTCTTTTACATAAAAATGAACACTTGTGATATGATAAATATCACATTTTTAAAAATGTAAACTCAGAAAAATATCTGCAGGAAACATGACATAGTTAATAGACATATAGAATGAGCTCTTGTGAACTGATAAGAAAAAGGATGAATGAGAAAATGTATAAAGGACATAGTTCAGAAAAGAATACAACAAATTTCTAAAGAAAGTAGTCACGGATATTTTTTAAAAATCTCATTAGGCGAGGCGGTGGCGGGAGGAGTAGGCCCTGCGCCGGCCCACCTGGGGCCCGGTTGCGGGTCTCCTGCCACCCCCGGGGACCCTGCGCCGAGCGAGC